CCCCCCCCCCCCCCCGCCACTCCTCCGCTAATCCTCCACGCTTCTTCTGCTGCTGCTCCACTGCTCCGCCACTCCTCCAGCCTTCCTCTGCGCCTCCTCTGCACATTCTCTTCCGCCGTCACCGCGCTACACTGCCCTCTTCCTGCCGTCTTCCCGCCCGTCCTTGCCCGCTTCAGCGCTCCTCCGCAGTGCGCTGCCCCCCACCCCCTTCTGCACTCCTCTGCCCTCCGCTCTCCGCCCATGCTCTTCCGCGCGCGATCTGCCCTTCGCCCGCGCACTGCCCCCCACTCCGAGGACCGCTGGCCGCCCCCTTCCGCGCCCTTCCGTCCGTGCTTCCCGGCTCCTTCTCCACCCATTCGCCCCCGCTCCTCCGCCCTGTTCCCGCGCTTCTTCCGCCCGCTGCCATGCTCCTTATCCGTCAGACCGCCCCCCCTCATCCGCCTTCCGCCCTCTTCCACCGCTCCTTCTCCGCCCTCTTCCCGCGCTTCCTTCCCCGCCCTTCTCCCGCTCCTCCGGCCTACGGCCTCTGCCCGATCCTCCGTCCTCCTTCTCCACACTTGTTTTCCCCACCTCCTCGTCCGCCGCTTGGAAAAAAAATAAAAAACATTCCTCCCGCCATCCTCCGCCGATAATCCCCCCCTTCCCTGCTGCTCCTTTGCTGCTTTGCCCCCCTCGTCCGCCGCTTAATTTTTTCTATACTCTTCTTAAAGGGAGTAGCGGGTCTCGCGTAACGCGTCCCGCTGAGACCTTTTTCCCGCGCGGGCCCGGCGCACCGTGGGCCCGGCGCGGTTTTTTGTTCGCGGCCGTCTTTTTTTTTTTTTTTGTTTTGTGTTGGGGGGTTCGAGTCCGGCCGTTTTTCGGCGTGTTTTTTTGTTTGCGGCCGTTTTTTTTTTTTTTTTTTTTGTGTTGAGATGTTTCAGTTCGGCCGTTTTTCGGATTCTTTTTTTGCCTTTTCGTGGCGGGCGAGGATAGAAACGACTCTGGCAGTGTACATTCCCATGTTCTAGCGGATTCATTCGATTTTGAGGTTTTTTGCTCGCGGCCCTCTTTTTTTTTTTTTTTTCGTGGTGAAAGGTT